TGTGCACGTGTGTGTCTGTGTGTACGTGTGTGTGTGTGTGTGTGTGTGTGTGTGTGTGTGTGTGTGGTGTGTGTGTGGTGTGGTGTGTGTATGTGTGTGCGTGTGTGTGTGTGTGTGTGTGTGTGTGTGTGTGTGTGTGTGGTGTGTGTATGTGTGTGTGCGTGCGTGTGTGCGTGCGTGCGAGCATGTGTGTGTGTGTGCGCGCGCGCGCGTGTGTGTGTGTGGGGGTGGGTGCACATGGTTGGTATGTGGTGTTTATGTGAGCGTATGATAATAATCTCTTCAATAAAATTAATATCTTTATTTCAAGATTACCCAAGGCCGGTGAACGCCCTATCAGGTTGATCTCCTATTTGAACATGCGCATATGTGTGTGTGTATGATGTGCCCTAGCTCACTTTTAATTATTATATTATTATGTTATACACGTAGATCATGTCCATGATGCCTTTCCTCTGCGCAGGTCCACCGCACTATTGTTTTTAAGATTGACATCATTATTACTTCTGCATATGCATTACATACTATGATCATGCTGGCTTCATCCCTTATCTCCTAAGCTACCCCCCCCCCCCCCCCCCCCGGTGCGTCTGCCCAGTGTTGACTCCGAGACCCACGGTCGGACGAGCTGCCCAGGCCTCACCACCACTGCCGTTTCCGTGCTGCCTTCTCGATACATACGTATGTACACTGTATATCATGTGCACATTCACATGTCTGAAGGTTTGTGGTTTTTCAATAAAAAAAAAATAAAAAAAATAATAATGCTCGATATAATGCCGGCATTATCCGCCAACACCTAGCCAGCTGTGTTTCATGGTACGGTACGGTACGGAAGACGGTGTCGTATTACCCTCGATCGTACCTGTCCCGTACCTATCCCCTACCTTACCGTGCCATCAAAGACGGCTGGCCACAATGCATATTCAAATAGGGCTTTCAAATGCAAGATCACAATGTGAAACAACTTGGAAGAATGGGTATGAATGCGAAGTGTATGGGGGAATGCATGTAGCTACGTAGGGCGATAGTGCGGGTTCGAATCCCAGGATATGCCTGAAAAAAAATAGGAGAATTGAAAAATTTATAGCATCCTATGCTTTGTTGCCGTCAGATCACAATGTGAAACAACTTGGAAGAATTAGTATGTATGCGAAGTGTATCGGGGGATGCATGCAGGGTGCGCGATAGTGCGGGTTCGAATCCCAGGTTATGTCTTAAAAAAAGAGGATTTTTTTAAAGAATTTATAACATCCCTATGCTTTTTTTGTTTAGGTCATCAAGGCAAAAAAGCATAGCGTAGGGCCCTGAGCTTCCAAGCTTTCTCGTACTAGTAGTGTGCGATTTGCAACGAGTATTATGCGAGCATTATAACACTACATTTCCACAAAAGTGGCATTATACTCAAATATGGAAGTTTTAGCCACTACAAGTCAAATGTGGGGGTGGGAGGCTGGGACTCTGGGAGCAGCTGCTGTATGTACAGTCATGTAGCATTAGGGCATTGGCTATGGCGGGAGGGCGGCCAAACTAAGCCATTTTCCATGCATACTATTGCGGTTTTGCTGGCATTATGGAGCAATAGCAGCATAAAATTAGCATTATGATCATGATTTTCTAGCATTTTCATCTTAGCGTGTATAACTTGTTCCGAACCACAGATGGCTCCCAGACAAGATGCTCTGTTGCCCTCCCCTTGGCTAAAACGTCCTCCCTTGTACACTCTCCACTCTTTGTTGCCTACTCTGCTTGGCTTGTGCTGCCCGCTACTACGCGCAATGCCAGTACCCTGGATGCATTTAAATCTGCTCACTAGATTCACCCTCCCATGCTTCTCCGTCTTGACCATTACTTTTCTTCTTTTCTTCTTTTATTCACAATGGTTGGTTAACCCCCACATCTCCCGTACTGGCTGATTTTCTGTTCATGCCATGAGGTACGTGATGATTGTAAACTTTAGTATCTGCCTGCATTATTCGTCTTTGTATTTCGTGTTTTTGCCTCCCCTTCCTCAATGCCCTGATCCCAATGGGCGAAATATTGGCAAAGTTATTTATTTGGTGCAGCTGAGAGCCTGTTGCCGGAATGGGGGTGTTTTCAAGTGCCATGAGGTGTTGTCTATAATAATAATAAATTTTCCATGCCGTCTACGTTGAACTACGAAGCGTGCACAATACTGCCCAAACCAAGCCATTTTTCCATACTTACTTGCTGGCATTACAGAGGAACAGCAGCTTTATAAGTAGCATTATGATACAGGTTTTCTGACATTGCCATTAGCATCATCCCGCAAAATAACTAGCATTATCCGCCCAGGCCCACTCACACAACAGAGCAGCTCGCCTGGCCTGGACTTGAATTTTGCAAATCTTCAATCACGTTTTCATGTACCGGTACATGTACGCGCTATACAATAGCCAGCCATGTGGCCATGTGGCGTGAACAGATTGCTTGACGTGAAAGGTAGCGATCCTTCGCGTCCTTCATAGGTATGCCACTTAAAATGTAATGTCTTGAACTCAGCGAGTCTGCAGTCTGCAATGGTCTGTGTAGTAAGTACAGTAACTGTGACTACTACATTGCACTGTAGTAGTCAGTCCTGATGGAGATGTCCTAGGACATCTCCATCAGGACTGACTACTACAGTGCAATGTAGTAGTCAGTCCTGATGGAGATGTCCTAGGACATCACGGAACCCAGCATATCTGCAGCCGTATGGTCGTGTCGTCTCACAGCCAGGAGATCCCCCCCCCCCCCCAATCCGATATCAATGGATATGTAGGCTATGCCTTTGGGAAATCCTTTAACTAATAAATACATAATACAAATACAGCGAAGCACACAGAAACCTTGGAGAAAATCCAAGCGCGTTTTGTACCGTCATACGTGTACCTCAAAAAGAGTACGAAACTACCAAGTCCGACATGAACAAGCTAGCTTGCGAATTTCAAGAACGATGTTCTCGCTGCCTACACCAAACACAAGCCACCGACGTCTAATATGACCAAGGAGGAACGAAATGAGCTGGCCAGACTCCGCAAGGACACAAGTACAGTCATCAAACCGTCAGACAAAAGTAAGAAATTAGTCGCACTGAAACAAACCCTCTACCTGGAGAAGGCAGGTGCATTGCTATCAGACGTACAAGCTCTTCCAAAAGTCAGGCAATAGTGGATTGCTGATAGACTACGCATCTGCTGTGCCCCATCACATCAAACTTGCAGTTGTCAAGTCTCAATTCACCCAAAAATTCCCTAAAAAATCGAATTTGTAGATTCATGTCGAATTGTCGAGTGCTACATCAGTTCAAAGAGCATGACCACGGTTGCTGCAAAATCTCTGACAATTTTGTCTCGATCTGACCAGCCGTTCAAGAGTTATGGCCGAAAATTTGCCCTTGCAAGGAAAGATTTTTTTGGTGCACGCTGTCATTTTTTGGCAGCGCTGTATTTGAATGTGAGCAGACCATGCGCAACTTGTCGTGTCATGGAAACACGCAAAAATGTGCAGAAGTCCAAAAAATCACGTTTTTTTAGCCATGTATTGGGCTGCACGGCGCCCGCCGCCGTGCAGCAGGACTTTTGCCAGCACCCTCGTGACATTGCAGATTTTGTAACTTCGGCAAGTAATTTGAGTCGAGGCAAGAAGTCAGGTGCCTATCGTCTATCGAGAGGTGAACATGTAATTCTTTTTTCAATGTCTGCCAGTTGGAATTCATAACCCGAGTGTATTCGGGAGATTGAGCATGTATTCTGTTTCCGGTATACCCGCTTTTCTCCCGACGGTTAACCAAGCCATACATTGCACTCATTTCCCTCTCTCTCCCTCATCTTTTCTCCCACAGGAGAGCCCCTCGATAGGCGCGCCCGCAGCCAATCTTCGCAGGCGCAAAGTTGGGCCATTTGCGTTTAGCCTTCACACACGTACACGCTGGTGTGTCTGTCGTGTATCACGATTGGGCATGGTCACCTCCACTGCACGATAAAACTAGAGCTCGAAAAGCGCTACCGGTACATGTACCGTCTCCTACCACCTTCGAACCGGGCCGTTTTGGTCCGCGTTTTGGTACGCTTGCGCCCGCATACGGAACGCATAAGGTCCGTTCTTGTTCCTTGTGTTCATATTAGACGCCACAATCGGCGTCTTGAGCATGTCGAATGCCGCAGACTACAGATGAAAACTCTGTAGTTCCATGAATCTCTCCAAAAGATCCGAGCGTGCCAAGTTAGATATACTTGCAGTGGACGTCGACACCCATTTCGCCTCCATTCCGCAGCACATGAGCTCCTGTTGGCTCCCTTTTTGTTCTACTGTCATCGCACACCATCATGCACCATACTCCATAGTGGCAGAAGGGCGCTTTTCCGGGATCAGGTCCTGAGATCGGAACACTACTATGGATAGCTGAGGCGCTCACTCGGCATTGCATTCATTTCCTGTGCAAGAAGAGAAAGAAGACAACGAAGAAGAAGAGCTCTCGCAAGAAGCTGTAAGCGCTTATGGCTGTTGTGATTCTCACTATAAACAATGTATACCAGAATGTTAGCTATACGGACTATCTCTCAAGTTGTTTACTGACACCCCTGACTCCACTAGTTAATGTAGCGTCCATTTGGTGTTTGTCTTTGCACAGTGTGTGTTTTAGTTCCTCTTGTCTCACTTCTCGCCTTCTCTTTCCCTGCCTTTTATCTGCTCTTGTGTATAATTCTTCACTAAATGATCGCCCAGTTGTACTGATTACCAGCCTTTTCCATGCTACATGTACTTATCCTTCTGTTTCATTGCTTCTGGTTGCTTGTACATGTACATGTAACTCAATTGAAGTGAATGCGAAGTGAATGCCCGATCACTGGTCATGAATTTCGGAGTCCTTATTGATGAAGGTGATGGGTAGTTTGAGATTTGTAGTTTTTCTGTCCCCGATAACCTTCCGGTCTCCGTGAAAGCTGTAGAAGAAGACGTATTGTTTGTGTTCCTGTTACAACCTGCTGTAGCAACCTCAGCTGGTGACGAGGAAACGTCCGTGGATCAGAATCTAAGCCTAAGGCATCACAATTAGCCACCAAAAATGGCCAAGGTATGTAACCGATATGGGTAGCAGTGCTGCAGGTTATTGTAATGTTCAGCACGGTATGTGCATGCAGCAGTGCTGCAGGTTATTGTAATGTTCAGCAGGGGTATGTACATCTAGCAGTGTTCCAGGTTACTAATATTGTAATGTTCAACAGGCGACTTGCCACAGAGTGAAATGATGTACTGTGTAGAGAGTGCATTCAGACTACCGAAAACCCCATCAAACCGTGAATGGCGAATGACGCTGATAATGCAAACGTTCCATTAGTGCGACCTAGAGCCAAACCTAAGGGGTGGCCAGTCATGAAATCAAGTCAAAATTATTATTAAATTTTTGTTTACAACGAACTCTGAAAATGAGTAGTCAACAGCGATATTATCTGCAAACTCTTGATCTTTTTATTAATTTTTTTACCATTATTTTAATACCGTAAGATCCCGCCAGAGTGCCCCGTCTCTCCCATCCGCCACTCCCTGACTTCTTGCCAGAGACGTGATTGATTGTATCCTCATATGACTCTGTCAAAGTCTGTGATGCCGTACTGTACTGCAGACGCGTGCTCGACCCGATTGGAAATGAACGCAACAGTGCCCACCCTCTTGACCAGGGATAGCACAAACCCTGAGTTTTGACGGGTCTGTACGACTCCTGGCACTTGACCTTTGGTCGGTGTACGAGATGCACAAACATTTTCGTAGGGTGGGTACTTTTTCATGTCGTACTGAATGCGGCAAGTAGGACTTGCCCATCCGCCAATCCCCACCTGAACCGACTCGAAGCGTCGAGGAGGTAGGGGCGCTCTGGCGGGATTTTGCTATTATTCACAAACCCAACTCGTAACGAAGTAGTGGTTGCGACTTCGGCGATAATTTGAAAGAAAGGTTTGCTCCCCACACCGAATGGCAGTCGTGAGTCAGTCAAGTGTCAAGTAAAGTCGGCGGAATAGCGCGAGCTCCGGTGTGGGGAGCAAACCTTTCTCCCAACTCGTAAAATAAAATAATTATGTGGACAAAAACAAACAGGTACTGAGTAGGGGCTGCACTGGGCAGCAGTGATGGTGAGGTGCCAGGGGCTCCACCGAGCAAAGGTCTCGGCTTCAATGCCACAAGCACACGCCAGGAAACAATTGCAAGCTCTCTGTGAAAGTACCGGCGCTATATGACTGATGTACAGCACAGTACAGTATAGCACAAAAGTATAGAGCAAGTACAGGTCTACTCTCCTCACAACGTAATCTCTAGGACCACGCAAAATTATGTTATATCGAGAGTTATGTTATGTAGAAAACCACGTGTAAAATACAAGATGTACCTCAAAATGAAGGGTATTACAAGGCGGGTTTAACCGTGCAAACATATACACACTGTACCACCATCGGCATCAGATGCAATCAATGCCGCAGAATATAATTATGCACAATAGGACTAAACTTGTTAGCTACAGCTATAGCCTGATCGTACCGCGCATCTGAATCTACGTTGTATCGAGAGTGCGCACGTCGGGGACCGCGCCGCAGCATGCGTTATGTCAATGTTTACTTTATGTAGGACCAAACTGGCCTAAACTGGCTAACTACAGCTGTCGCTTGATTGTACCGCGCACGTGAATCTACGTTGTATCGAGAGTGCGCACGCCGGGGACAACGCCGTAGCGTGCGTTATGTCGAGGTTTACGTTATGTAGGATTACGTTGTGTAGAACAAAATTTGTATAGGAGTATTGCTGTTTGGGTGCGGGATTTGATTTGGTTTACGTACTAGTGAGGGTTACGTACAAGTGAGAGTTGTTATATCCAGAGCAGACTAGTTGTTAGTTTGTCCTAGTCTCCGTACCATTGTCTTCCCTTATTCTTTTCGAGCTGGGGAGGTGAACATAGTAAAAAAAGAAGAAAAAAAGACCTGTAGTATGTAACCTCTGTAAGACTAATAGACTATTTAACCTTAGTTCTTTCACTCTTCACTCCTAGTTCCGTAAACCGGAACAGAAAGTCGATTCTGGATGGTACACATACATGTCGAACGAGTTGCATGTTGCATGGTGATGCCTGCGGCCTTCGTTCTATTCACAGTGACTTCTAATGTATTTTTATGAGCGTTTCCCAAGCTTTCTCATCAGCCTTCTCATCTTTTTTCATTCGATTCCTTTCTTGCATCAAATTGTTTTCTTTCTTTTCGCGTTGTGTTGAAATCCTTCATGATGGTATACTGAACTGTATTGTGCTTGCCCATGAAAGAGGCCACCCAATACGACAGATACCTGCCATCACAGTCACTACAAGCAGGTGACTAATAATAATAATAATAATAATAATAATTTACTGGTTTGAGGGAAAGAGACAAACGGGAAAAGTCTGAAGAAAAAATTGACTGTCACCACCAGGACTCGAACCAGGGACCCTCGCTTGTAGCCAGCGATGCTCTAACCACTGAGCTATGGTGTAGTCGTCATCCCAGCAAAGGCCGTTCAACATTTTCTTCAGACTTCGTAACTCACACTTCCTGTGAATCCACACAGGCGGGTGGGACGCAGCCCTCACTGTAACCCACACACTTCACGTACAAACTAGCACGCGGGGAGCCCCAAGTCATAACATATTTACTGGTTTGAGGGAAAGAGACAAACGGGATAATAATAATACAGTTCGCATGTCTCCCAAATAATGGGTTCCACGCATCTGTCAACTGTTTCATCATGAAATAGATTGTAGCAGGAAGAATAGCAGGTGAACAAAAGAGAAATAATGAGAAGTAGTACTGGACATGATGTTTGGCATGTACATGACCTTTGACCTTTGACCGATCTCAAAGTCCTTTCTTCCTCTTCCCTCCCCTATTTCTTGTCCCTTTGGTTTTTGGCTTTATACATTTTTTTCACTTTCTTTTTGCTGTCCCACCCATGGAATTATCTTCCCGATGGGACTGGTGTATTGTCTCCGAAAGAAATGAGTAAAGGAGAGGTGATGGTAATGCACATGAGCGTGTTGTGCTTGTCTCTCCTGCTTTGGATATTGAAAATGCATATGTTTGGCTGTGGCATTGTCTGGCCTGGCGTGTGTCCTATTTCCAGGTGTTGATCAGTGTTCTGCTCATGGGGAGCGCATTGGTGCTCTTCACTGATGCCTCTGGCCATCAGTGGAATTCTCCAAAGCAAGGTGAGTGTGTTGTAATGCAGTTGAGTGTAGGGGCACATTGCAGGTAACTAGACCGTCGGGCAAAGACTACTTACTGCTTTTGGGTTTTGTTTGCACTAATGGTGAAATAAATAAACTTTCTCTGCTTCATCGAAATTGTTGCAGTTTGACTAGTGACTTGTCACTTGTTACTGACCACTCCATAAGCTAATCATACAAAAATTATTACACAGGATGATAGTCTGAAGTCTAGAGTAATGTTCCAGGACAGTTGGACTGAGAGTTTCACATGGAGCTGAAGGCGTCGTCGTCGCTGATGTCAATGGACGAAAAAAATATCGTTCCGCAAATTTTCCAGGAAGGTTGTACGTTGGTCGCGCCCTATCTCAAACGCTTTGACACTCTCCACAGGACAAGAGCTGCTATGCTTGTCGTCTGCTAGGACAAAGCATAAGGGATGTAGGAACGATATGCTGTAGAAAACATGAGGGATGTAGGGACAATATGCTGTAGAGAACATAAGGGATGTAGGGACGATATGCTGTAGAGAACACTAGTCATAGAATCCCTGTCCCGCCATTGCCAGCTAATGAGCGCACTGTTATTTACTTTGTTTGAATCCTTTATTCTCATGATGGCACCATCACCAATAAGAGATAGGAGAAGGTGAGATGATGTGGGTGGGGTTGTGGGCTATGCAGTTGGAAATACATGATGCAATTGCTCAAATGTGGAAGTACTGTAACGTAATTTATCCCTCTGCCTTTGCCAGTTTGTTTTCTCTAATGATCGACTCCCTTCCACCATTACAGATGTATTTGATTCATTTTATCACAGTGCACATGTCTGTGAAAATACGGGGGCACAAAACACAGGTCCAGCAATGGGTGTGTAGACACTACACTGCCCTGTGCTGGTGAGATGTGGTGAACTCCCTCGACCGACGGTCTCGGGATCGGGGTACACTGCAGGAAACCAGGGGGGAGGGGGGAGGGGACGAGGGGAAGGAAGGGACGAGGGGAAGGAAGGGAGAGAGAGACAGAAAAAGTATCCTATATATACACTGATGTATGATCTAATACCCCTCCCCCTATTCATCCCACCCCTACTCATCCCACCCCTACTCACCCCCCCCCCCCCTACTCACCCCTACTCACCCCCTATTCACCCCTATTCACCCCCTACTCACCCCCTATTCACACCCCCCTCCCCCCTATTCACTCCCCAATACTCCCCCCTATTCACCCCCTACTCAACCCCCTACTCCCCCCCCCCTACTCCCTCCCCCACCGCTTTAGGAGCTGCATCTGCGCCTTGATCCTTGAAGGGTGGTTGCGTTCCTATGGGTGTGGAAAACTCGGCCTCTAGCCGAGTCTGACGCGAACCGTGTTTAAGGGGGCACATCACCCAAAAATTCGCTGAAAAATCGAATTTGTAAATTCATATTGAGTGCTACGTCAGTTGAAAGAGCATAAATAGCTGCAAATTCTCTGAAAACTGTGTCCCTATCTGACCAGCCGTTCAAGAGTTATGGCCGAAAATGTGCCCTTGCAAGGAAAGATTTTTTTGTTGCATGCTGTCATTTGTTGGCAGCACTGTATTTGAATGTGAGCAGACCGTGCGCAACTTGTCGTATTATGGAAACACGCGAAAGTGTGCAGAATTTTGCCCCAAGTCCAAAAACGTCCAAAAAATCACGTTAAAAAACCACGTATTGGGCTGCACGGCGGCGGGCGAAGCCCGCCGCCGTGCAGCAGGACTTTTGCCAGCACTCTCGTGACGTTGCAGATATGTGGCTTGATTATTGTAGTTGACGTTGATTTAGTGACTTTGGCAAGTTTGAGTCGTGTCAAGAAGTCAGGTAGGATTCAGTACTAGGCAGTAGTGAAACGTGAGTGGCAGTCTTTGCCGGTTTCTGAGGGCATCCTGGATTTGGTGTGCAGCGCTGTGGAAATGGCTTGCTGTGGAGGTCCCAGCACTGGATGTTATATCAAAGGTACGACCTCGTAGCACGTGCTAAACCTAAAAAAATTCAAAAATTGACTTGGGCCTGTGGGAGTCCGCGAGAGAACGCCCACTCGTTTCGTTGTGACAGATTCCAGGGCCACGTTGAGGGGCCCTACCCCACCACCCATGGCTGCTTCTGGACTTGTTTTAGGTTTGGGTCCCGCGCACGGACAGAATGGGCACGAAAATGTGAAAAAAATGTAAATGCATTTTGTTTGGCTCCTGGGTGGCTCGCACACCGTGGCACTATGCCGGAAATTTGAGTTTTTCCGGCCTGGAAAGCCTGTCAGTGAGGCGCAAGAACTTGTAAATCATGTCCTGAGGGCCAGCATAGTGGCAGGAGTGTGTGGTCAAAATTTCACTCAAATCCACTGAGAAACACCAAAGTTACGGTCAATTGAATGCCATATGAAATTTTTGGGTGATGTGCCCTCTTAAATTAAAAAATATATATAAGCAAGGCCGGTCTCGGAAGAAAATGTATAATTTAATCATTCAATGTAGGTATGTGAGCACTTCAGTGCCTGGATGTCAGAACCCCCCCCCCCCCACACGCTGATATGGACAGATGTCAGCTAAAACATGTCATTGGGGTTTCGTAAAATTTTAGAACATGGCCGATTGGAGAATTGTTTTCTGTTGAGCACATTAGAGCACATTGAAGAATTGTTTTCTGTTGAGCACATTAGCGCTGTAAAGTCAACTTCGCTGTACAGTCAACTTCGCTAATAACGACTGCGGATATAACGACAATTCGCAAATAACGACATAATTTTCATGCCCAGAGCAAAGTCCCATCCAACTGTGACACATATATTGAGACTTCGGGTATAGCGGCACTTCGCGAATAAGGACACTTTTCTGATGCCCCGCAGAGTGTCGTTATAAGCGAAGTTGGCTGTAGTTCATTCATCAGCCGGTGGAGATAGAGTCTGGTCGAACTATCGCCTGTAAATGAAAACGAGGAAAAGCAATGCAAGCAACCAGCAACTAGATCAGAGAGCATTGCTCAAGCTCACCACCAACCACACTCCATTCATAAACAGATGGGCCCTGCCTCTAGCTCTGGCGAGCTCCCGTATTTGGCGATTTTTCATGATTGTATCGTACACAGTGCAGTGGTGCGAGATATGAAATTTGAAAAAGGGTCCAAAAAGGGTACCTGAACTGGGGATCGAACCGCACAATGCACCATTGCAGGCAGGGTCAAACGGCCGGGACTTAGATGTTTTTTTCCCAATTCAGTGCTTTCGGGGCAAAACCTGGCCGGTATTCTATCCTGTTAATAATAATAATAATATTCGCGGGATCCGCGTCGGCATCGCTTGAATGTTCGTTCAGAAACACACAAACTAGCCTATTCTAGTCTATCCTGCTATGGCTTGCTTTTTCAGGTTACTGTAAATATACAAAATTTCCGCGCTGCAAAATTTCGGCACTTCACGATTTTGGACATTTCGGCCTCGATTTATTTTCGGCGTGGGGTAGAGGGCATGGTATAGTGCGACAGATGCTGTGAAAAAATTCATCTTCGTTTTAATTTAGGCGTTTTGGGTCGGTGCCGAATATAGCCGAAATTAAATAGCTGCCGAAAAATTGTACAGGTCGTCCCTCGTTAATACATAATCTCTGGGACTTGACAAATGTTATGTATTAACGGGGTTTATGTACTAAACGAAAGTGTACATAACGTGCTTGGGTACCAGAATTTTTCACTTTTTTCAAGTTTTCTGAGTGTTTCTTGCTACCATGACTAGGGAGCGAGATATTCTTTATTCCCTCGATATAACATAAACATTATGTTATAACGGTCACAGTCAGCGACGATTCTATAGTGCACATGATACATGCCCAGTCTTGCCTGTACACTGTACAGTCACTCGAAAAAAAACAGAGCTTTGTCGGTTTGTGATGTGGACTCTGATTTCTGAGCTAATTGCGCCCACAAGTAGACACTAGAACACGATGTGTCTCCACTGGAAGGCCAAAAGACCAACAAATAATTATGTACTATTGAGGTAGGTGGCATGCGGGCACGGAGAAATGTTATGTACTAACGGGGTTTATGTACTAACGAATTATGTACTAACCGACAAAATTTGTATGGAAGTGATCACGTTTCGTCCGGGACTTGAGATTTCTTATGTACTAACGGGGTTTATGTACTAACCGGACTCGTATTAACGGGGGACGACCTGTATATTTACAGTATGCGATAACGCCAAATTCGCCATATATACATGTAGGAGCCAGTTGAGGTGGCAAATGCCCATATATGAGTAAAGCGCGTACAGAAACCCCATATATAGAAGAATTTGGGGTGGCAAACGACAAACGTGCTATGTGACGTGTATGGCATAACCTCTATAGACTTCAGAAACATAATAATTATTGGAAGAGGATTCCAAAGGGGATTGCAGAAAAAATCCAAAGAACCTCAACGTTTGACCCATTTATGGCCAAAACTGCTAGAATTCTATCTTTTTCTGAATGGACTGTAGATGAGAAAGCATTGCTCAAGCTCACTTTCATGCCTTGGACTCTGCCAGTACTCCTTGTCAGGTTTTTGCTACTTGAAAATTGCGCACGTTCGACTGTTTCAGAACGCCTATCTGGTTGACTCCAGCATTTCACTTGTGCGCCACTGCGCTCCTCGTGCTCAGCTTTATCAAAGTTCTTTTTTCAAGCACTCACAAGAAGGAGGGAGTCTTTTTTCTTCTTCTACAAAATCCACAGTTGAAAAGGGGAAAGTCTAAAAAAAGTCATGCATTCATCTCATTCTTCCTTCTTGTTTTGCCGGGCTATATTAACGAGAGTGAGTACAACACTGCTACTCTCCAAAGCTCTAAATGTAAATTTCAAATTTGGACTTCGTGGAGAATTTTTTCTTTCTTCCGTATCTGGCTCGCAAGTGTTGAGTTTCGGAGAGAAAAGAGCAGTACGAGGCAAGTGGCCTCTAACTTCCTTGTACTGAAAAACATGTAATTTTAGGTGCATTCAAATTTCGGTGCCAGGGACCTGCCAGGTTTCAGGTGTAATGTAGAATTAGGCGACCGGCATTCCCTACACATCCAGCGCATACTCTAGTAATTCCTTGCCTGTGGAGTGGCGCACCCAGTACCGCACTTGCCTGTGGAGTGGCGCACCCAGTACCGCACTTGCCTGTGGAGTGGCGCACCCAGCACCGCACTTCTATGTTTGGTAAGCATAGGGGCATCGTTCCCCTCGACCCTGAGATCGTTTTCGTTTCACCGTGGCTTGAAATCTTGTCTCCTCCACGCGCCCTCGCCATGGCTCCGCTTTGCTCCATCTGCTCAACCCTGTCCTCGGAGCTCCTGCTCAGGTGAACATGCTTAGTCTGCCATGCGTCATGTTTTCTAACTTGTTCGTGGTTCTACTAGTATTTGATTTGTGATTTTCGAATAATTGTTTCGTGTTGGGTCTTCGGCGTAAGCCGTGGCACTGAAGTCCCGTGTTATTCTCTTCTGGACAAGTGCTCTCACACGCGCCTAACCTTGCTTCTGTTTGTACATGATTGTGGCCCACATTGTGTGTGTCATTGTTCGAGTGCTTGTGTGAACGGTGTTTGGAACCAGTGTAAATTTTCTCCCTCCGGCTCTGGCTGTTCGAGTGGTCGCGTGCACTGTGTTTTCACACCTTCTGTTGTCTGTTCTGTTGTGCCTGCTCATCGTGTTGCTTGGTCGTCAGCATGGGTAGCTTTGCTCTTGTTTGCTTACTCGCCCTGTGTTGTACGCTGGTGCACATTAATGCGTTGTCGTCGGACTGCTCCGATCCTGCGTCGATCGATTTGTTTGGTAGATGTCCCCATCGATTTTCTCGATGTGGTGACACTACGTCGTTTCCAGTTTCAGGAACTTGTACTTACATTTTTTTCATCTTACTTGTAATAATAGTATTCATGTTTTGAGTCGAGCATTGCAGTGCGCCGCCGGGGTGCCCCACCGATCATGTGGAATGGCTGTCGCCCAGCGGTGAAGCATGCTTCTGAGACTCTCGTTGACGGTCCGGGCGGCAATCTTTCTGTGGGCGTGTTGTTTTGTCTTTGTGCTTCGGCATGTGGGTCTCTCCATTTCACCTAGGCGGGCGTCCGATCATGGTGAGGCACGGTCTGCCTGGTGGGCTGGAGGGATCCAGTGCTTATTTTGTATCGGTTCGCCTTGCGGGTGTACGCGTCAGGCGAAATAGCACGTCATAGTACATTTGAGATCAGCGGGAAGAAGATGACGACGTTCACTAATTTAGTATCTGTGCACACGAATCTGCTGTGTGTGTGACTCTGTGTGTCAGCTATGACATCAACCCCTGTGGTTCCATGCCTAGCATGTACGTCTGAACCATCCTGCAAAGTTTGAATGACGTAGGTTGAGCGATCTCTCCGCGAAACATACTTTTTGAGATTCTCTTCATAGTATATCTTCCACCATTGAAATTTCGAATTTCTTGCTGAGAGGGGTGGCTTGCAACCTCGATATGGCTTGTTCCAGGCATGCTTTGGAGCCATCCCCTGTTGAAGTAGTGGCGGGATCTGCCCTGCAACTGCTACAACAAAAAATGATTCGATCTGAGAAAGGGTGAGACCGCGAATCTCGGTTGAATATTGAGTAATTCAAGCCTTTTCACGACGAAGATGGAGTTCTTTTTGGAGATGGACGTCGCGGCAAAGGACATGGTGTCCGACTTCTGGCGTCTGGTGAAGCCAGGGATCATTTGTCCAGTCAGGTCGGCAGCCTAACCATCGGCAAGCTTGTGTTTGGATCCCGTTCTGCTCGATGTGGTAGCTCACAAACAATTTGATATCGCACAAATTGATCTCAGCATCGTGCGTATGGTATTTTATATTCAGAAAATCCCAAAGTGTCTCTGTGTAGCCGTCCTATGCCACGAGAAACTCCAATCAGGCTCCTATATCCTCTGCTTTCATGATTGAATGTCCACTTCGTTTGAACAACAAACACAACAATCGAGGACGGCTTTGCAATGAAAAATACAGCTATACTGGAGCTGAAAAAAGAAGAAAAAACGTGCTCAGGATGAGACTCGAGTACACGCATACTCTCCCAGCAGGTGAAACGCAATGTTTTTGTGAAAAATGCGTGTCGCCGACTGACCAGCAATTTCGCCTAACAGTTTCCATATTTTGCTGGCTGGCCTTTGTGCGTTCCAGTAGGGACCAGGAGTTATTTTTTGTTGTTTTGTTAGCGGATTTGCTTCCCGTGTAATATCCAGTTCAATCCCTGTGGGGTTTCAGGTTCAATCCCTGTGTTTTTTCAGGTTAGAGGCCTGTGGTTATTCAGGGTAGCGCCCTGTGGTTTTCTACGTTATTTTTTGTTTGCGTATTGGTGACCGATTTGTTTGTGTGCTATTACGGTGTCCTCATTAATTGATTGCCCCTGTTTCCGTAGGCGTGTTCAACATTGCTGTTCTGCCATTTTTTCTGCCATTTTTTCTCCTCTCCCATCCTCAGGAGAGGATGCATATTTTTGTGTGACCGTATGTTGTCCGTGCCTGCGCGGACTACGCACGTTGCATTTGCTGCATTTGTACACATTCTTTTTGTTCGACTCTTGCCTTCTTCTTGAGACTCTCTTTGGAGTGAGACCAAAATCCTATGCGGTGCACGCGATATGAGAGAGTAATCGGAAGGGCCTGTCGTCTGGAAATAACCCCCCCCCCCCCCGACGACAATACCCTACATGTCCCCAAACAAAATGCAATCATGAGCCATCAGTTGTTTCTCTCTTCTGTGTTCTGTGTGTTATTCTCTGTGTTCTGTGTGTTATTCTTGCTGTCAGGATATTATAGGCATGAATCTGTCCATGCGAACACTGAGGACCTTCGTTGCCCAGTGGGCATGTACCTATCAGTACCCCCTATGTCCTACCTTCCAGAAGGACCAGGTAGCCAGAAAACTCTTTCCGAAGCAAAGGGCATTTGCCAAGCGCTACACATGACTTTACCACCAAGGAGTGCTGCTCACTGCTTGTGGGACTTTGCCTTCCACAGCACTGTTGGAAATATTGATATTGGCTATGAAGGTGTGTGGACAGACCACTGGAAAAGCACGTCTCATGATGCTAATTACAAAGTAAAGTTAAGGGGTGGTGGTGATGTGGATCGTGAACGTGGAAGTGTAATCTGCTATGGTGAGTAATGGCTGTTGTTGTTGCCGAGTGATTGGTTGGTTGGCTTGTTGGTTGGCTGGTTTGGGGGGTGGGGGGGGGGGGGGTGGGGGGAGAGAGGGGGGAGGTTGGTTGATTGGTTGGTTAGTTGGTTGGGTGGCACTGGGTGGTTGGTTGGTTGGTTGGTTGGGTGGCACTGGGTGGTTGGTTGATTGGTTGGTTGGTTGGGTGGCACTGGGTGGTTGGTTGGTTGGTTGGGTGGCACTGGGTGGTTGGTTGGTTCATTGGTTGGTATGGGGGCCAGGTGCCCAAAATGTTTACTTTCGTTGCAGTTGAGAGGGCACAACGTTTTGGTAGTTTCAACGTGTAGACGGGATCACAAGGAGCTCCAAGATATATTTTTTTACCCCAGAAACGTGATGGGAGGTACTAGAATTAACCGTTGACGTTTCGTGCATGGTAACCATGGCACTACATAGCAACAGCATAGAAGAACCTTGATTACCGGTCACAGTGCTCGATACACAGCTCCCACGTAATCATTTACACCGGCTCCTCATGAGAGATCAAGCGAATGTACAATTGCGTGATCAGCATAGAGAAGCTCGGGCCATGGCCCGTCGACTCGACAGGAAGCTGCGCAACCAGTTCTTCACTGAACAATGCCGAACGAGTGACCAGCGAAAACTGTGGAGAGTGTTGAATGTCGTAACTGGTCGTCAAAAGAAAGCCCAGGTCCCACAGGCATCCCTACAGGATCTCAGTGTTACATTTGGTAGTGTCGTACATGACCCAGCGCGTCCCGCCACTCTTCAAGCTCCCTTGGGACCAACCCAACAATGTGGTTTCTCTGCTTTCCAGCCGGTCGCAGTTTCTGCCGTCGAGTCCTGCTTGAGTTCTGTGGACCCAAGTAAGGCGACTGGCAGTGATGGTGTGCCTGGCCTACTTCTACACAAGTTCTCCTCAATATTGGCACCCAATCTCACCAAAATTATCAACTATTCGCTCAGAACAGGCCAACTTCCTTCCACCTTCAAATCCTCACATGTCACCCCTCTGTTTAAGGGTGGCGACCCAACCTCACCTACAAACTACCGCCCAGTTTCCCTGCTACCCATCATCTCCCGTATTCTGGAGGCATTTGTAAAGAAACAGCTCACCACCTATCTCGAATCAGCCCAGCTTCTACCCACCAGCCAATTTGCCTATCGTAAACAACACTCCACAGAGGATGCACTTGCCCTCGCAGTCAACAGATGGTCTCTAGCCAAATCTCGACGAGAGTACACCGGAGTTGTGTTCGTAGATATGTCGAAAGCGTTTGATCGCGTTCAGCACGAGCGTCTTCTGACTGAACTCTTCTCTCTTGGCATATCTGGTACTCCACTCACTTGGTTTGCTGATTACCTCTCAGGCCGCTTCCAGCAGATCAGAGTTCAAGGACATCTCTCTCCTGCCGTTTCTTGTTCTCGTGGTGTCCCACAGGGCAGCGTTCTTGGTCCCCTGCTATTTGTCTTGTACACTAGCACATTGAGCACGATCCTGCCACCGGCGGTAAACCACCAAGAATTTGCGGATGACATTACTCTCGACTGCTCAGACACCGACCCCACTGAAGTATGCCGAACCCTCAGCCACGCAATCACAAGCCTCGCCACGTGGCTAGAAGATATTGGTTTGCTGCTGAATGCAGCAAAAACTCAGCTTCTCTTCATAAAGCCCCGTGGCGCAGATGACACACAGCCTGAGGTGTTCTGCCATGCTGACAAACTTGCTATCACACCTTCGGCTAAGTATCTCGGGGTAATACTCGATGAGGAGCTGTCCTGGAAGCCCCACATTGCACACCTGAGCCGCAAGACTGCTAGGACCATTGGCCAGCTCTGGAGGCATGGCCAAGGACTCAGTTTGCGCGCCAGACGCACTTGGTTCCTCAGCATGGTCCTCTCTCAGCTATGCTATGGTTCGAATAGCTTTGTTCCTGGGCTTTCTGCCCAGTTGCTTGGACGTCTGGAGAAGAGTTTCAAAGCCGGCATTCGTGCAACCTTGCAACAGCGCTTTCTCACCCCCACCGCACCGCTTCTGGCACTTCTTAGTATAGTCAGCCTGGCACACACATACACTCAGAAAGTTCTAATCTTTGTACACCGCTGTATCAATGGATACTGTAGCCCACTCCTACAGCAACTCTTTACAACGACTGCTCCAAACACCGTCCTAAACGATCAGCGCATCACTAGGGGCCAAGTTTCCAACTTGCTCCAAGTCCCTTTCCTTCGCGGGCCTGCTGGTCGCTCGAGTATGATGTTTCACGGCAGTGTTGCATGGAACGCCCTCTCGGCTGATGTAAGATCGATAACTGCTGCCGATCAATTCAAGAGAGCCCTATCTGATATTGACGTACTTAACTTGTAAACTCTATGCCAACAGTCCAACACCCCTTGCCGTACTTCATGTTCCCTGGACTGCTAAAAAGTGTCCCCATCCAACAAAGTCTGCCAATGTTCACACATATATTCTCATGAAATGCTTCCACTACATTTTATTTGTTATCACATTATAAAAAGTTCACACAAATTGAGTGTCAGCATACACACAATGTCATAACAAACATTTCTATAATAATAATCATACCGCTTGCATGTCTTTATCTCTATACATTTCCTCATATAATTTTCTTCATCTTTCTGTGAGAACCGGACCTATAGGCCGGTAAGAAGGCAATCATGCCTGTGCAATTGGTGAAGTAAAATAAAAGTCAACAACAACAACAACAACCATGCCACCCGCATAGCACTATACTGATCGCTCACACTGCCTTCGCGCTGAAACACTAGCATTGCATACCTGCCATGGGACAACACCTATAGTGAATAAGACCACACAACCCCGACTATAGCCCCAGTCTCCTGATGATTGCTTTTCAGCATGAAACTCGTGAGTAGAGACATTTAATCACTTTTTTGTTAAACCGGATTTTCGTGTGTAGCAACAGCATATCAACTATTGTTTTAATATAGCTATGAATACGACGAGGAGGAGTCGGGTGGGAAGGAGCGAGATGAGGCGGATGAATGTGTTGATCGTAAGAAGTCAGCTGTGTATCTACACTGTCTTGTTATCTCGTCCTGACTGTCTTAGTGTGTATGATGACTCTCATTTTTCTGTACTGTGTCGTGCGCGTTATGTCCAACAGTTGAAAGTCCTTGAGGCAGTTTGTATACGTATTCATAAGCCTGTTTTGTGTAAGCAGAAGGAGCACGTTGTTGCATTGAAGTTGTATTCGTAGGTTGACACTTCGTTTAGCGCCTTCTCGCCTTTGGTTACGTAATCTTGTTACCTTTTTGCGTTTCCTCTAGTGGTTTTATTGCACTTGTATCTTGTTGTTATTTCTAACACCTTTCTGACTGTATATAGTATCCAGTTACAGTGATGGAGAGTTACTCTTAACTTGTATCCATATGTCCTTTTCTTTTCTACCTTTCTATTTACAGTACTTAACTTCAGTTTCTTTGGTTGTATCCTTAGTTCCGTATTTTTTTCCCACTGATGATAGGAACAAGAAAATCGATTATGGGTTTTCAATAATATTTTTGTTATAAAATACACAGTAAATACATGTCAAACAAGTAACGTAGTTGCGTGATGTCTGCGGCCTTCATCCTATTCATAGCTATATTAAAATTATTATCTCCACGTAGATTAATACCAATTCTAGAATATCACTGAAAGCTAAAAACAAGAATAAACAATAGTTGAAATAATCTATGAAAGCTAAAAACAAGAATAAACAATAGTTGAAATGATCTATTTGAATTCGGTATCTCAACAGTACAATGTACAATTTGGGAAGAATGAATGGAAGACTCAAAGCAGGTTGCAAAATCTGGAACGAGAGAGCTTGGAAGCTCAGGGCCCTACGCTATGCTTTTTTGCCTTGATGACCTAGACAAAAAAAGCATAAGGAAAAAAAGTAAATTATCGTATCCGTTCCCGAAGGGAACTCACGACGGCCGCTAACACCCGATAAACCCTAGCGGCAGATGCAGCGCCTAACGGTGGGGGTGAGTGGGTAAGTCTCACAACCACTGGCACAAGTGCCGAAAGCGACCCCATTAGCTGCATCCATGTACCCCTTGTGCCTGGCCTCAAGTTCCCAGTTGACTGTGGGTAGCAGCACGGCTGGAAAAACCGCTCCCAGGCAGGACTTGAACCAGGTACCTCTCGTATCTCAATCATAGCATAAAAAAAGCATAGGGATGTTATAAATTCTTATAAATTTCTACTTTTTGTTTTTAGACATAACCTCAGATTCGAACCCGCACTATCGCCCTGCATGCATCCCCGGACCCCCGATACACTTCGCATACATACTAATTCTTCCAAGTTGCTTCCCGTTATGATCTTGTATTTGAAAGCCCTATTTGAATACTAGTATGCATTGTGGCCAGTCGTCTTTGATTGTACGGTACGGGACATGTACGGGACAGGTACGGGACAGGTACGGTCGAGAGTAATACGACACCATCTACCGCCTGGATGACGGCAAAAAAAGAATAGGGATGTTATAAATTTTTCAATTTTCCTATTTTTTTCAGGCATTACCTGGGATTCGAACCCGCACTATCGCCCTACATGCATTCCCCATACACTTCGCATTCATACTCATTCTTCCAAGTTGCTTCACGTTATGATCTTGCGTTTGAAAGCCCTATTTGAATAGTGCGGCCAGCTGTATGTGGCCAGCTGTGTTTGATGGTACGGTTTGGTACGGGACAGATACGGGATAGCGCCAGGCGTGACACAAACACATAAAAAACAAACACCAAATTAAAGCTGTGTGAACCCTGGCTAGCGCCAGACGTTACTGAAGTAACGTCTCCTGCAGCATAGCTACGGGAATAAAGACCACTGGGATCTAGATTTTACGGAACAGTAGTGATAGCTGGTGCTGGTGCTGGTGCTGGTGCTGGTGGCCGCGGCAGCAGCAGTGGAGGAAGAGGAGGTGGTGGTAGTGGTGGTAGTGTAAGTT